GGACACGTGTCCAGTTTGCACGATCGCATCGACGGTGGCCGTTCAGCGACGTCACAGTCGGTCTCAGATGTAATGTCACCGTTTTCTCTTGCCACACACATCACACTCCTCGATTGCTGCACATGAGCTCCACATGTGGCTGGGCACTGAAAATAAGCTTCAAATCTCAGAATTCATGACCTTGTTCACATAGCGCTATATCGCCCTGCCCTAAAACATGATCTTCGAGATTTTCAAGATGGGCCTGACCGCTATGAGAATTTGGTGGGGTGTAGCGTTGCTCGCTATGGATGCTGGAGAATGTCAGGGGCTTGGGTTTGGCGCGGCGCCAGCCCGTTTTCTCCAATGGTCGAAGACGGGAAAGCGACAACAATTGGTAGAAAACATACTGGCGCAGCACCAAGCCCAGCCCCATCAGAATAATACAATTTTCATATGATTTTATATAGTATCTTAATGACTATAATCCTTTATACATTTTTCCTCTCCGAGTTTTAGAGGGGAGAGAGGGCTTAGCGTCCGCAGGGAACAATGCTGTAGGTGGCTGCTGACTGTCGCCGCATATTCAACTTCAATTAGGGACAAAAGCGCCAGTACTGTTGGGAAGGGGCAACTGGCACGATACCCCTTTTCCTGTTCGTTGGCGCCCTCCCATAGAAATAGTAATTGCTGAATGATTCCTACCAATCAGGCGGGGAGGTTGACGTTAGAGAGCGCAGTCTAGCAAAAGAAAGCGTGGCATAGCTTTGCTTCCTCCCATCATTCCCTCCCCTCCCCCTCGCCTCGGCACCAGCTCCTCCAACTACACTGGAACCCCAGATGAGATCTTCCTCAAGGGAGGAGTTTGGCCTTCCTCATAACTTTGTTACATATTTTCAAAGAAATAATATGGGTAACGTTCTCATCAAGTGGGCAAGATCGCTAAACCACAGCCTTGAACTGCTCCAGAAGACTGCCCCAAGGTCGCGCTCACAGTTCGGACTCGAGCGGACGCGTCTTTGGCAAATGCCATGAAGTTCGACTACAGCGTACACCGCTCTGATGTCTTCTCGCAACTTCCCGTGCCTCACTTTGGCAAAAAATTGTCCAATCTGCCGATTCGTTGGAGTAGTGGTTAAGCGCGATGGCCGGAAAACAAAAGTGCTAGTTTAAATACCCGGCTGAAGAGGTGAGATTTACGTCCATAACACGAGGGTATATCACAAATCGCCAGCTGCAGCACTGCACGTAGACTAGCAAATGATTTCTAGCTAGACAACGTATGTGTGGCACTACCATTACGAATCAATTGGGTCATGGTGCGAATGTCGCGCACGTGACCCATCTACGACCATTTTTCGATCTCGCCACGACTCGGGATTAACGAACAGTACACCGCAAGCCCCATATGATAAACCCCGAGAGAACGCTTGGCAAATGAATAGAAATGTACAAACCGGCATCCATGGGCCACTTTGCCAGAAAGCACAGACTTTGATGTTACACATACGCGTGTCTTCCACTTTCTCCAAGTCCCGGCAGTACTCATCTGGTAGATCTCGTTGATGATCCCGACATTTTACCTGCAATTCAGAACACAATTCTCCACATATGAAGCGCTGTAAGCCTGGGAGGAACCACTCTCTGGTGGGGAAAATCAATCTGCATAAAAATTTACTCAGGACTAGTTCTTAACTCTTC